CAGAATCTACACTAAACGCACTAGAAATGTAGACATACCATAGTGAAGTACTGAACCGCCTGCTCGAACCCATAATTTTCCAACATCCATGTCATGAGGCGCGCGGCCTGCCGGGACTCGGGAGTCTCTATGAGAGGAACGTATCCAAAGCGGAAAGGGAGACTGCGCGTGATGATGTTGTTCACGGGCCCTGCAATGAAGGCTAGGCTGCTCGTGCGAGAGAGGTCGAGCGCAAGGACGATGTTGAACAGGTTTCGGCGGATAGTGGGGAATTGTCCAGGGTAGAGGTGACGGAACAGCTGTATGGCCAGGCGTTTAGTGAGCTTGTTGAGTTTTAAATGCCTGGGAAACGTACCATGGTTAATGTGTTGGGCCAACGAACATATCTAGGAAGATGGTGGCGCATGAGTTTTGTTAGTTTGAGTGAAGCGACCGATGTACCTATTATCCTTCTCGATATCGTTGAGCCAAGTAATCGCTTTCCCCTCTTCCTCGCGATCACTAGCGTCAAAGAGACCGTCGGTGGGACCAGACACAGTAGCCGCCTTTCCAATTTCCGCACTAGCTAGAACCCGAACGGCCTGCTCCGAAGTCAGGCCAGTATCCATAAGAGAAGTCATTGTCTGACGCTCCCGACGAAGTAGCCGCAGAAGGCTGTCATAGATAATTTAGTTCATATTATGCAGAATTGAAGGGTTAAAAACTACATACCTAAACGGGTTCATGTCGTTGTCAGTCAGTTGCACTCCGTTGATCCACGCCATGTTCCCAGCCCCCGACAGCATATGCATGTTTGTCATCACCTCCTGCTCAATGTTTTCGTATCTCGTGCTTAGCTCCTCCGTACGATTCGAGTCCCACCGACGAGCGAGGGATACTGCGTGCTTAGGAAAGTTCTGGGAAAGATGGCTGAGCGCTTTCAGAGGATCCGAAGCGGAAGCAATGAGGTGAGCAGCGAGGTTGGGGAGGGATGCGATCTCTTCCTCAGTAAGAGGGGTGCTTAGATCGAGGTCTTGGTGAGGATGTTCCGAGAGGAGCGTCGAAGCGTAATCCTCCCAAACGATATCCTCGGTTGTCGACTGGCCATCTTCACCACCTTGTCCGCGCGGACCACGGTCATCAAGTGCCAGATAGTCCATTTTCTGAAAACGTGTGATCAATTAAGTTAATGAGGTAATTTGAGATGCCACGTACCTTCAAGTCAAGCGCCACACCATAGCCCGACAGCACATTTCGATCCTGTTCGCTAGTAACAACCGAGTTCTTCGGAGGAGCATATCTCATAGCGTAGCAAAAGCCTGGCGTTTCCATCTTGGAGCGCAAGAACGATAGCAAAGGATAAAAGTTCTGGGAGGACAGCGAGGCATAAAAGACAGGCGGATTGCTGCAACTTTCGTTGTCGCGTTTTTGGAGGTGATCGAAAGAGAACAGTCGAAGAGGACCGTGGGTGCTTGTACTAAGCAGTCCCTCTAGTTCGGCGGGATCACAGACTTGTTTTCCGGCCCATTCGACCCAGCTGCCACATTCGGGAGATTTAGATGCATCTCCAATGAGCTGATAGAAAGCCTGGATCTTGGGGGCGGCCGAATGTAATGCGAGGTTCTTCTCATATGCTGAAAGCGCGTGTGGCTCTGTCAGAAAACCACGCGCCTGGAGGAGGGCGAGAGCGGTATGATAAACATAATTTGGCTTGTGAACTGTCTCTGTGATAGGGCCAAGTAGACCAGCAGAGGAAGGGTCTGTGAGAGCGTCGACAATATCGAAATAACGGTCGGGATGCTCGGTCGATGCTGTTTCACTACACAACGCGTTAGCTGTTTTCAAAGAGACAGAAACAAGAGCCCACATTATTTCAAGCAAAAGAGGTGGGGCGGCCCATGAAGTTGTTAGAGAGACTTTTACTGGAGGAGAAGAGGTGTCTGCCGCGACCAGCGAGGCGGCGACACCCAAGGTACCCAAGGCCGACAAGGACCTCATTTGTCTACAAACGGTCTTTAACAATAATCGAGACTTTAATATGCATAACTTACAGCTTAGAGACCCGATTCGCGTTTCAAGTCGACGTTAATTAGGTGTAGTCGGAGACAGTCGACGTGGTCAAGTTTGGCGCTTCTTCTCCACTTTCAAATTCAAATTCCTCGATCGCCTGCTCCCGACTTTGACTCTTGGAATTTCCACCTCAAGTTGCTGCTCACTTGAACAGCGAAACATCAATCAAGCTAGAGAATTTTAACTGAAATTGTTATAGCTTAGAACCTTTGTTAACTGGGGGTGACGTCATGAGCTTGTCTAGAGTTCGCTCTCGTCTTTTGACTAAAGCTCAGCTGCTCGAAACTAGGAAATGCAACGTCTTTAGTTCTAGGACTGCGCTTATATATGCTAGCTCTCATGCATCTAGACCTCTCCCATATAGCCTAAGCAGGCGATCAATGAGCTCAAATACGACCTTCCAAGCAGGCTCTAGTAGCCGAGTCTCTACGATCTTCACTGGGTTAATCGTACTCGGAGTCGGCGTCACAACATATGGTCTGTGAGTTGGTGAACCCAGGTATTAAACAAAAATCCTCAATTAGATACCAGTTACGAGTTTTACTCGACATTCACCACATGGCCCAAAGATCTAAGAAGTGACTTGCGCTCAGCAGTTAAAGCTGATATGCAAGGAGACCATAAGATTTCCGAAGCATACTTTCGCCGGCAAGTTCTGCAGCTCACACTCTCGCATTGGAGGCCTAACTTCAAATTACTTTGTTCCTAACAGCGCATGGGACAAAGCTCAAAATTTATCTCCCGAAGAACTGGGGAGCGAGCACCACCTCAAAGTCAGCGGTATTGCGATCGCCCTCGCTGCCGTACTCGAAAAACAAAACAACCTCAATGGAGCCTACGAGACCTACGCCCGCGCATTTGCTGATATCCTCCGACCACCTCCACCACCCGCACAAGCCCCTATTCTTTCCGGCCCTGAACGTATGCGTGCGGTAGGGATCTCCATGAAACTCGGTGAGCTCGCCGCGCGGTTCGGGCAGCAAGAAGAAGAGGAACGGTACCTTGTCTTTGGCGTCGAGGAAGTCTTACGGATGGCCAAGGAGCAATCGGGGGCTTCCCGGACCGAGGGGGACAGAGCTGTGGGAAGTGGCGAGTTGAAGCAGGATCTAGTACTTCCAAGTTGGGTTTCCCACACCGATGCAGGGTCGGTATTGGAGCGGTTGGCGGAATTTTATTCAAGGACGGGCAGACCAGAGCAAGTTCTCACATTGTGTGCCTTGATCCAAGACGCTGATATCGAAATTGGCGGCGATTTGTAGTTATGCGGTACCGCTTTATCTTCAAGCATTGTCTATTCTTCTTCCTCCTTCAAAATCCCAGTCTCGGACTCCCACAATTACAGACAGATGTCGAGGTTCGTCGTGCTTCTTTAGGAGCTCCCATACTGTCTCACATCGGCCCGATCCTAGGTGCATTACTCATGAACAACCTCGCGGAGATTTTTGCCAAGTCCAGCTCTTCTCGTAAAGCTGATATTGACCAAGCGACCGCATGGGCCAAGAAAGGCCTCGCAGTAGCGCAAAAGGCCCGATCGGAAATTGTGCCAGACACAACCAGCAAGTCCAAACTTAAATTCGTCGAAGACGATCCGACTCCGATTTGCGAGTCTGTGCTTGCGGTGTTGGTGTATAATCTTGGAATGCTGAGCGAGGTCTGTGACGATAAATTTTGTTTGAGGCTTGAGTTACTGAATGTTGTGGCATATGTTATGCAGAAGAAGGATGATGTCAAAGGAGCACAAGTATTCTTCAGGCAAGCTCTAAATCAGTCGACTGCGGCAAGATTTGAAGAGGGAAAAATAGAGGCTGAAAAAGGTCTTGCTCGTACAAGTAAACCATAGCGTGCATATAAATACCTGCATCTACCCCGTGCTGATGATTTGAACAATAATGCTATTTGATTCCTCTGATACGAGAGAATCTGATTGGGTGACCCTGCTGTTTGCACCACAGCCGTCATATACAATGACCACCAAAACTAATGCCACATGCCTATTTTGTACATGGCGGTTCAATGACTGCGTTTTGCGCGCTACATGTGTTATGTATTTCAACGTGTTGGGTGCATGTCTTATTGCAAGTACGGAGAAAAAAGATGAGTTCTGGACGTAGGGTGAAAAGATGAGAGGGCGGCGGAGTCCCCAGCTTTTGATGAGAGAGTCACCGGACTTGGTTGAATTAGTAGACACTGTTGAGCCTGGCGCTCTGACCACATTAATACTTATTCGGAGATAATCAGTTCAGAAGCAGAGGAGATATAAGCTGTTCAAATACCGTTTTTGCCTGTTTTTGGCTAAAAGTGTTGAAATTTGCCGACTTTGGTGGCTTGTATTTCCCGTTTCTGAGCCAATAATCTTCGGCCTAGCTGTAATGTGCTGATATAGCCAGCCTATTCAATAGCTACTAGTTGAGCTAGGTCTGGAGACTCGTGCATCAAAAGCTAGAACCCCACTCTGTGTGAAGAGAATGTACCAAAAATTGGGTGAAAACACATAAATTTCGGGCAGCCATACTGAGCTCCTTTTATGAATGTTGAGCTCTTTTCTGCACAAATTGTCACAGCCATGATTCATAGCATTATTGAATTTTGGGGCATAATTGCCCAAAAGTGAACCCCCAAAATTTGGGCCAAAAGTGTCGCTTTTTGATATAACTATGATTTTTAAGTCATTTTACCCCAAAAGGGATACCTCAAAAAGTGCTACACCCAAAATTGGGGACATCCAGTTCATACAGAGCCACCCCACCCCCCCCCTTTTTGTTTGCTCACCCTAAGCCCGGAACTCATCCTTTTGTTACGTGATTGCGATCTGATATGCACCCAATACTTTGAGATACATAATTCATGTAGCTAGCAGGACGAAAGACGCAGTCGTTGAGTCTCTTTGCTTAAAATAAGTGAGCTGCATCAGTGCTGACTGAACATATTGATCAACTATCTTCAATAGACATGGCTTTATAGTGTAGTGGTTATCACCCGAGATTCTGATTAGTCAGCGTTCTCGTGACCCAGGTTCGAGCCCTGGTAAGGCCTTCTTCATCTTTTGCCAGCCTGGGCTGGAAGAAATTTTTGATAGCGGTATACCTTAGTCAAACTATTACAAGCTCGCATTCTTTCAAGATGTAACTCCGATTTTGAATCTCCGTTATAAAACAAACTTTGGATAACGATTCAGTTTGGAAATACATTCGACTACAATTGCGCACCACATATACGGCTCGAGTGTGGGCGGCCGAGGAACGAGGCCCCCACGCTTGACCGTCGCCACAGACCCGCCGAGGTATCGAGGCGGCGCGCTCCCTGATAAATGTAGTCACATGACCAAAATCTCCATGCATGCATGGAGAAATCCGTCTGCGCTTGGGATGGTGCCAGCAGCAAGCATAGATGGTATTCAGTCGGACGGTGGCCGGGCACGCAAATTATGACTTGTTAGAACGTTTGTTTATCTCTGATGTTTGCCGCAAATGTGTATATACTTGCCATATGGAAAGTTCGAGCTCGCATAACGATAAATAAATAGAAAGATAATGAATGCGATGCCAGGAGACCAAGAAGAAACCGACTCATAAATAAGAACACACCCCATTTACCCCACCAGCTGACCAGCAGCCAACACGATCGCAACAGCAAACCAGCCCAGGATGAGCATATAACCACGTACTGCGGAATCAGAACCGCACTTACGGGGGTCTTTTGCAGTATCTTCTGGTCCCATGCCCCGTGCTCGTCTGCACAGGCACAATCACACCGCCGAGAAGACTTGTGTTCAACCGCCTTCCAAACTACGGAATTCGGGAAGCACTCACTTATCTGGGACGCTCCGTTATTTTGGCCACTGCTTGAACCAGTATTGTTGTCTTCCGTATTTGAATCTACAAACGTCCCACTTTGTGCGCAGTCGCAGAACCAACGTGGAAACCTTGTTATTCACAAGACTCTTCATATACAACAAAACACTATTACTTTGGCAGAACGAGCAGCGCAAAGTGGCCACCGGCCACTGGACGTGCACGGAATCCAACAACGGTACCGTAAATGGCGTCGTACCTGTCCACATCGGGTAAGTATGTAGGCTACGCCAGGAGGAAATCTGGGTACCAGTCGGAGAAGGGAGCGTTATTCTTGCCGTTGGCGAGATAATCTCTCAAACGGGAGATGAGCATATTGCGGGTGTTGAACTCGGCAACCGTCCCAGCAGTCCAAATCATCCAATCTACACGCTCATAAGAACTCTGCTAAACCTTACCATGGCTTCAGTCACGTACCTGACTTGGTATACGAATGACGACTGTCAAGAGCAATACCATACTGGGCGCCCATCTCACCATACCAACCGGTTTGCATGTCGTACACGCTCTGAGGGAAAAGGTTGAACTGGAACAACTTGTCCGCATATAGGTTGTATGCCATGCCCCACGAACTTGGGCTTCCGTAGTTGAGCACCAAGTGTCCCTCGTTGGAAGCCGCCAGTTTCTGCCACTTTGAGACGTACGAGGTTGCGATGTCCTGTGCGGGAATTAGTGAACAACCAATTTACAAACGGGGGTTACGTACTTTATATTTGGTTGCGTCGTCAGTTTTGCCCAAGATGGTGGCGATTTCAGACATTGCCCTGATGCCGATGATACCCTAATCACTGAATAAACGACTGTATCACGATTGAGGGCAAGGCAAACTCACCTTGATCGCAAGATTAGTCTGGTTCGCAAGGTGGCCAGCAAAGTCGTCTGTTGACAGCCTAAACTACCGTTTCAGCACAGTTCTCTTTGGTGACAGCTTAACATACTGCAAAGCAGGGATCAAAGAATCGTTCACAAGGAACTGAGTCCACTGATCAAGGAGGTTGTAGTTGTTCGTGATAAGCGAGTTATCCTTGGTAGCGCGTGTATAAGACAAAGACATGATAAGCATGTTCCCAGATTCTGAATCGACAAACCTTAGTCCAATTCAAAACGATTCATAGTGACTACATACCTTCAACAGGCATCGCCTCATCCTGGCCATCGTTGTGCCCGTTCGCAACTGGGTAATGCGCGCCGAGATCATGAATACTCCACTTGTTGGGGTACTGGCCGCTCTGTTGGTATTGGAATAGAGGTTCAAGGAGGCGACGACCAAAGTCAGGATTCAGGTACAAGTAGGCGGGCCAAGCTGGGAAAATCACGTCGACCGTGTTCATGTTTCCGTTGGACGAGATTTCTTTCATGAAGATCTTGATGTCGCTAAGGATGATGGTAAGCTATTATTCAAGCCTAGAAATGCGATGCCCTACCTGGTGTTGTATGAGCCACTCTCAGTTTTGCTGAGCGTGATCTCGACGGCCGCAAACGCTTGGCGAGTAGAAAGTTGGACGATGGCGGTATAGTCGGAATGAATGGGAGTAGCATCGTTGAATATCTTCGTGTCTAGCGCAGACGCAGCGGACACGGAGTGCTGGTACTCGTCAGTAGACAAGAATGCGGAAATCTAACGAAACTATTAGAATTGCACATTGAACAAATAGTGAGAACTAACCGCATCGCTGGCAGTTGCGTACTTGCTAAGCCAGTACGCATACCGCGGCTCAAGGGCACCTCCGGCAATAATATATTGCACTACAATACCATTTAGCTATGTTTCAGCATCGAAGTACCTTGAACTCACCTAAAGGATCTCGAGTGTGGCCAACAGCAAATACAACTGGGCTCGAGGTTGAGCTGGTCACAGAACCAATATCACGCGCAAAGGCGAACACCGGCCACCTGTCGCTGATCGCCCGGAACTGGGTGTCCTGGGTGTTTCCAAGCGCTCCCTGATTGATAAACGCCGCTCGAACGACAGAGTCTTCGCCAGTCGCATACGTCAGCCCGCTTCCCTACAAAGAAAGCTAGCGTTAAGTAAACAGGGATCAAGGGCCACGTAGATCACATACCTGGTTGGTTCCATAGTAAGCCGAGCCGTACTGGGCGTGATCGTTCACCTCGGCAAAGGCAGAAGGGCTCTGGAGCTCAACCTGGTGCACGATTGACCCTCCGTTGGCAGTCAGGTTGGCGGTCGACCATTTGGCCAGCAAAGAGTTGTCGCCAGAGACCCATTCTGAGATGGAATGTTTACATCAAAACGCGGGGGGAAGATCACTTGGCGTACCTGCTGATATGTCGGTGTAATACTGGACCTTGTGAGCTGCTCCGTCAGTAGATTTGGCAGTCAAGGTCATGTAGCTGAAGGGAAGAGACTGGCGGAGGTAGTCGGTAGGCTATATAGACACGTCACATAAGTCCGAGATGTATACCAATGGGGCAACCAGGACTGACCTCAACGGGGGACAGGAACGCAACGGTCAGGTCTACTGGTCCGGCAGCGAGAACAAAAGTGGATTTAGTCGCGGTAAACTGGGTGATAAGTCAGTAATGGATAGCGAACATGAATTGGATGAATACATACCTGCATCTTCTTCTGCGTAGCCAATGTAGCACCAGCGACATTTGGGGCACCAAGGAAGGTGTAGACCTTTCCATCGACACGAACGTACCCAGCCCATCCAAGAATCTAAGCAGGGGGTAAGATTAGGAAGAAAATATGAAACAAAGGCTCATACCGAGCCAGTCCAAAAAGTAGGCCATTGCCCATTCAAACGACCACCACTGTCGCCACCCTGCAACCAAGCAGACAAGTACGGAGAGCGAACCGCCAGTGGAATAGCCGGAGGGTTGAAAGGAGTCGACTGCCAGTCGGGGGTAGTGGTCTGGCGCGAAACAACTGCAGCATTTGAAGCGCCAAATACCGTGGCGGCCACAACGGCCAGTGTCAAGAGGAAATGCATCGCGAGAGCAACTCCAGGTGAAGAATGAGGAACGGCTCGCCGTTTAAATAAGAAGGGAAAGACTAGATAGAACATGATTTTTTGCGTTAGTATGGGCAAGAACGAGGGAAGAAGTGTGGTCACATGGAGGATAGAAACACCGACGCCTACAGGCGAAAGGAGGAAAGAACACGACTACTGAGATCCAGCGGGGGGTCAAGAGGTCTGCGACTGAACTAATGATTCCCCTTTATGACAGCATACTCGAACTCGTGCTCCAACTCCACTGCCGAGTGCCACAGCCAAATGGGATGAGGAGGGTATCTCGGGCGGCAACCTCGGCTTGCTTCGTTACATATTGTAATGCTCGCCGGTCGCCGTCCCTGAGCCGTTGCTCGCCTGTTGACTTCGGAAGAGATTCAAGAACGCAAATACTAGACCATAGTTATCTCCATCCATTATCACTCGGTCACCAGCACATAGCACTAAGGATTCTACAATGACATGTAATATCTTCGAAGTAGATTGGCCGCAGCGACGAGAGCAATAGCCTAGGTTAGCAATTGTTCTGCGCTTATGCTTCTACTTCGAGGGTGATCCCACCTACGCACATGCTTCCTGGTGGTTCTATTCAGCAGGATGAGATTCCGGGCAGACTAGAGCTCCAAGAATGCTCAATAGTGGCTAAGGGTCAAGATAGAACCAAGAGAAGGGCACAAGGACCGCGCGCTTGAGCGACTGGAGTTTGGCTACTCGGTAATTGCACGTGAACTCAGATAGAAGTCTCTACCATCTGTGACGCCATAGTTGAAACCAATTGCGAATGGATATATGCTGTACTATTGGTCCATCCTGGGTATGTCGGCGAAGAACAAGATACAAGAGGCGGTAGCCATTGATATATTAGCCAGCGACCATAAGTTAATCATCAAAGGTTACATATTATCCAGATTTGGGAATATAAGAAACCGTTCGGCAAGTGACGAGTCCAAGGCTATTAGCGTGCTCGGCCTACCTGTCGAGCACCTTGGATTTTAGCGACGGAAAAACTGTGCGGTTAATTAAACTAAGGTGAATGGTAGGAATAAGTATTACCTATGCATCCGAAAGGTTAAGCTGTAGGTGGGATAGGCAATGCGGCAATGGGCGGGGTTTGTTTGCCTCGAGGTTGTGTGTGGTCTTATTACGCTACTTGTCTCCCACATTTCCACAGCACAAAACATGATTCTTAAAGATATACAGGAGCAGC